CAATACTTATAGGTCTCCTTCAACGTGAATACTGAGCCCATAAGCCTGGTCTTATCATCATTCACAGTAGCTGATCAGCTCAACTCTATCAGAATTGGGCTCACTGATACATCAGGTGTCTAAAATTATCCTATTTCGGCGGTTCAGACAGTATTTCCCAGTAGATGTGAAATTCGGTGGAGACGACATCTCATGCTATCGCCGAGTATGTTCAATGTACCCATGAGATGCAGCAACGTGACAACCCAGCGGAGAGAAGTCACAGCTTTGCTGCGAGTATAAAAATGATGACGCGACATGTAAAAGAGAGAACCGTATAATTTTTACTGTCAATAAAGGGAATAAACAACTCACAGAACAGCATCTTAAATACTAGGTCCTGCATAACGTGCCAACTGGAATTTCTAAATAATCTAACTGCCTCACATGAACTTGGCATGTGGACAACTAATTTACCTCGAGATGCCCTACGTCTTTGATAGAGAGCTAGAAGATGTACAGGTTCAGGAACAGACATAGGAACCCATACTCGTCACCAGTGGTGCAATACAAGGCATTGTTCTTAGGCCGCTACTGCTCTTAATACAGTCAAACCTAAGGCGAGCACACAAAAGACCGACAAAAAGTGGTCGCCATGGACAGGTTCATGCATAGGGACATTACTCATAGGAGAGTACGTTTGGGATGTTTTTGGCCCGTCGCCATAGTAGGTTTGACCGTATAGGTTAGGGATATATCGGACCTAGCAAAATTCGACACCGATACCTCTGTTAATGACGCAAAAACTGCATACACTTTCCGTCCGAGTGCCTTTAATGATGCTTTTAGCATGACCCAACTGGACTCTCATGGGCTTGAAATCTGGTGCTCAAAGTGGAAAATGTTTTTCTCTACAGGAACGTGCACGATCCTCGATCCCTTGTTGTCTTTGGACACAAAATTCTACGTTAATTGAAAGGAACTATGAAGGAACATTTTCATGAAACCATTTCCGTTTTCAGTGGATACAAATCCCGAGGATTTAGTTCAGTTCTTTTGGATCGTTGCCCGATCAACTTATGACAGTGCATCCTCATTTTTCTACCCATTTGTAAACAGTAATTTTAATGGTAAAACTTTGGTAAATTTACAGTTGATAATGTAAAATGCAGAAAATGTATCAGTTTGGGTACATAAGGCTTATACTGACTTGACAACAATCGATCGAACAACTCACGCAAGCGTATAGGTACGAGTCATATTTGCTTCCCACGACGCGCCGCATTTTCTGGAGTCCGCTTGTGACGCAATCATGCGCCAACGCCGTTGCACAATTAACACCTTTTTCCCCATATCGCCCCCTCTCCGTTCCATTCTGGTCGGCTAGAATTCGATCGATAGCTCGTGCTTTGCCTAGTTAGGGCTTCATCATTCTACTTGGGGTCAGTCATGGAAGCACCGACACTTGTGCGTTCGTCTGATTTATTGCGCTCTCCATAAACACCTTTTCTGTTTTTCTCGGCGTAGACTGGCCGCTCGGGATCCGGTCTCAGCTCGTTCTACCAGGCCCGTTGGTCTCACTAGTTGAGCCTGTTACTGATCCCACCCATTCCCATATTCTTAATCTTCCTATCTTCCAGGCAACCAGTGTCTCCATACAATATGACCGAATATTTGGCACATCCCCATAATCTCTTATCTGAGTTAGCTATGTTATGATAACCTACGTGAATACTGAACGTAGAGAGCGAGAAGATAAAAATCTGTGTTGCTCCATTGTAGGTGGATCGGGCACTTGCGGGGAATCACGTCGCTGATTCCTGCGCGGTGGCAGCATTTTGCAGCTGCACTACATCTTATCCGGGTGCGATCCGCTCCCTAGAACTGTAGTCCGCAAAGTGGGTATCTAGGAATCTCTAGCGTCTCCGGTAAGTTGTTCCAATATTTCACCACACGACGCTCGAAGCATAGATGGTGAGCGATGCAGTTTCAATCCGGTGCCACTAGTTTGTACCGGTGTCCGCGTGTGCTGCTTGGTGCGCGAACATGCAGCAGCGGCCCCAACATAGGGAAGTGGCTCAGGTGCAGTATCCGGTGCGTCATGAGATCAACTCGAAGCCGACGATATGACAGACTATGAAGCCCTAGTATCCTATATCGGTCCTCGTACGACATACCCTGTAAACTTGGGAGAACGCGGGTAGCTACATGCTGGACCCGTTACAATCTCTGCATCTCACCTATTGTGATCGGACAATAGGCGGGTGAGTCGTACTCAAGCATCAGTCTTATCATGGAAGAGAAAAGACGGGTGGCAATCTCTTCAGACCAAGTGCAGAAGCTGCGTCGAAGTGTCTAAAGGGTAGTCTGTTCGTGCGGTTGACAGACTTCAGATCACAGCGTGAGTGTGCCTAGATTCTTTACGGAACTGGTGGGATGCAGCGGGTGGCCGCACGCCCAATACCACCCCTCCCCAGGATCATAAACGAGGACTTGGCCAGGTTGACCGGTAGGTCAACTTCTGCAGACCATCGGGATTGGCGGTCGAGGTCCTGCTGAAAAAGTAATTGAAGGTCAGTCGGCATCAAATCATTCAATCAAGCATTTTGTGTGCCAATGCTGTCCTTCAAAATGTAATTGTCAGATTTTTAAATCTGCCTGATCCTGCTGTGATCAATGTTCTATGCAAGCACGCATCCACGCAACTCTGCCGATGCAAGCATGTCGAGAAAAGTTTATTTATTTACCCTGGTCATCATGCACCAGGGTGCAGGTATCAATGCAGTCTTGAGGCAAGTGTTAACGTAAGATCAACACGTAAGGCCTGGGCATAGGCGCATGGTGCCGAATGAACTGCTTCTGAAGGTGCTTTACCTGACGAGCCAGATCTTATTGTGAAGTGAAGTGCCAGTGCGACCGATGATCACTTCAGTGACACACGAGTTCTTGGTACGTGTAACGTAGAGCACTTTGGTTATACTGCAAACGTACCCTCAGTTCCTGCCTACTCCATAAAACTAGCCATTTAAGTCCGTCAGGCTCCGTTGTAACTTGCGTCTGACGATCTGTCTGGTTGCGTCGTGATCGACACCAACAAGGATTCACCCTCTGGATTTCACTATGTATGCACACTCACTGAACAGGTAGCAGTTAGTGCGGTGACCATCAACGGTGCCAGAAGCAGCAGCTCCCTCAATACATGTGGTAACATAAAACCTATTCCACCAAAGCTAGATGCCCGTAGCGAAACTAAGCGAATGCTTACCATGCAAGTTATTCTGGCGAGCCCGCCTAATCCTGGGCTGATAGAGCTTCGCGGTCGCCACTTGAAAAAGTCGCTCGGCGCGCTTCCCAGCGATGCCCGAGGTAGATGGGTAGCGGAATCAAGAGTGGTCGAATGGATGTACGTGTTTTACTGCGACCATTAACTAGAGCTGAATCACGTCAGCTGAAATTTATAGCGACACAGTTTGTTTGGATCCACCGATCGTCAGCCACCGAAGGACTCTTAGTGGCGCCCCGGTGTCCACTGCGTGTCCGGAATTAAGCCTGTACTTCCAACCTAACAGATATTCTGGGAGCTCAGGTGACCTACACAGCGTCGGCGACTAGGACTACATCTCGGCTAGTAGGGTTGGGCAATAGCGTGCTGGGTTCGTGACAAAAATGTGTGTTTGGTAGCACAAGGGATGTAATCGGCCAAGGCATATGAAACAAACACGAACTAGCAGCGCCTATTGCTGCGTCGTTTGTTAATCTTAGCTGAAACAGCCAAACGAGTTGTATACGGACGTATACCCACGGGAACCCAACCAACTGGCCAAGATCTAGCCCTACGGCTTGACCCACAAATACGGCGCCATAATCTTCGGGTTGACGCAATCAACAGCGAGAAAACAGGCCATTGCAAGCAGCTTGATAATCGCATGCAATGGAAAAACCCCCACATAAACAAAGCGGTGTGGGCAGTAGGCATTGTAGTGATAACACGGATGCAGCTGCTGTCACAAGGGGAGCATGGAATGAAGGTTCATCACATGTTTGCAGCCTCGGCATAAAATCGTGGATGCGCAACCACAGTTACCATTTCTCTGGGTCGTAAGTCTTATCGTATGTAGGTCCTCGCTCTCCCTTGAGTTAATGCGCATTGTGTAGTTAGTTTTATCCCACGTGCATGGAATACAAGGGTGCGTCGTTTGTTCCAATTAGGAAAACCATCACGACTAGGCCGGCATGACTGGGGATAGGGAGTGGTATCGGAGAAACAGATCGAAAAATCAGTTAACCGCAATTCGGTTTCGCCTATCAGTCTTGCTGCAGTAGCAGATGCTACCTTTTTGAAAATGAGCGAATGCTAGTGCAGGATGAGGCCGGAGTTTGTTGAAAAAGTCGTTTTTATGAGGAGTGGGGTAAAGCAAGGGTTCCCAATCACATGGTTCTTAGCGTCTTCACTCAAAGCCTATGTCCACAAAACAGTGAAGATGAGGCTACAGTCCACGAGCTGGCCTATATCCAAGAATTGGGTGACGCCCCAGCCGAGAGGATTAGAAGGCTAAGTTTGGCTCTTCGCTAACAATTGACGAATTTGGCGGGATTGGCTCTCACAAGCTGTTTGATGGACAAACCTATCCAACATGGCCCCAGTTGACTGAGAAGGTACTCAAACCGCTGCGATGATCGGGAGTACCTGACATTAGCGAACTGACAAACTGAATGGGAATTACTAATGACCAGTTACGTGGCGCAATTGCAATGTGTCATTAATATGCTTGATTGGGATTTAAGTAAATCATCTTAATCCATTATTCCTTTCGGTTGAACAACATGCTCAGTACTAACGACGTAAGTGCTCTGCGATGAATGAATCTTATTGAGCAGTGTCGGAGAGCAAGCTAGAGAGACTTGTTATTGGAAAGAGATAATAGTGGTTTGAAGTGCGAGAAAATCCTAAAGCCCCATGTAGACGAGATAGACAAATCGCTGAAGATGAGAAAAGACAAACTACCAACTTGAAGAAAGATGGTCCGTAAAAGTTTATTAAAATCGAAAATGTGGCAAGCTAAGCTAATCCACTGAGTTTCGGGGTTGGGGTGAGCTGGGACAAAACGATCTAGTTTGCTAGACACTCGAAGACATAGATTGCGGGCTCAACATCCGTACTGAGATAGATACGGCTGCTGTCGACAAACTTGTTCAGTTCGAAGGTAGGACCGGTTGCTGGATGCTTGAATCGAAGGGTGACTTGACTGCAGACATCAGCGAAACTGAACACTGAGCCGAAACCGGGAGTGGCCCTGATGAACGCGACTATGAAGGCTGGGTATCCTTCGGCTTTTCGCACAAATAACTCGACAAGCTTTGGGTCGACCTGTGAAAAGAAATGGTGGTTTCAAATGAATTGCTTGAATGTAAAAGTTAAATAAAACGGTTGAGTAAAGTCACCGATTGACTACCAAGGTCCGGTGCACTACATTTAGTCGTAAGGTGAAGAAAGTGAATTTCATTGAAGCCAGTTATCATTCCTCATGTCAGCACAATAATATACTAGGTTGGTGGGAAATAAGGAAAAACAGACACATACGTCTATCAAAACAGAGAGGCCATGATCGACTTATGGAAAGAATGAGAACCGGTGTAGTAGTCCGGGTGCTTTTTCGGTTTGCCTGAGCGATCGGTGCGGAATGCTGGACTGTACATGGGGGTCACTTGCTTGAGCCGTGTACCGACACTTCCTCGGAGTCTCGGTCGGACATCAACGGCGATGCAGTCAGCACCAATTCATCCAACCCTAGCTAGCAACACCGGTGTCATGTGTGTAGCCAATAAAGGGAAGCTTATTATTATTATCATCAAAATAAAAGCCTGTCCATGTATACACCCACTTTCTGGATACCCAAGTTTGGCTGCAACTAAAATGGGAGCAAGAGTGCTACTGACTCATTTACTGAATAATGTTCGAAAAATTCGCTTGCAGCCGATGGTGTTGATCCCGAAGCATTTAGCTTGGAGGGATGCAAGCATCAAAGCGCTTCAGTCCTTCGGGCAATTCTTTTGTCTACAAGGATATCATCAAATGGCTAGTCCGAAGCTTTACTCAAGAAGGCACAGATTCTGCAAGGCCTAAACCGAAGTAAATTGTAGGTACGCCACTGCGTACCCCGTTTCGTGTTTGATGGACGGTGCAATGTCGTATCAGAAGGTTTACTGCCAAATACCATCTGGTGGACCTCAGCAACACTCGCTGTTTCCATCAAACACGATCACAGTCTCGCAGCTATTTAGTCCAAAAAGGCTACCAGACTACGAGAATCATCATCAATTCAGGTGAAAGTGAAAAACACACAGCTAATGCACCGTAATACAAAAGGAACATCAAACAGTACATATTATAGAAATCAAGATAATAACTATAGTGTTAAATATCATAGTATCCATCGCGTATGAGATCGTGGTTGGAGGGGGGAGAGAAAAAAACTAACAACACAAATGCTATTGAGGTCGGCTCTTCACCATGTCAACAAATGTATCCACTCAGACGTTCATCGTCCTTCAGACCTCAGTCCGGCAGTCGGGAGACACTAACCGACGTCAACATCGAAGTGAGGGTCTTCATTCTTGACCGAATCATCACTTCGCAGAATGAATGCGAAATACCTTGCCTAAGACGAAGGTTTGCAGGTTTGATTTGGCCTCGAGATTAGTAAAAACAGGGACGGCTGTTCTTTGGGATTCAGGTGAGATGACTACCTTCCGTACGTCTGACAAGCGCGACACCAGTGCCGTAAATACGGCAAATGCTAGGTTTATTATTACCAAAGAAGCAAAGTGTGTAGGTCACTCTTGAAATCTGGTTGCTGTTCCCGAAAGTACATTGCCATGTTACTGTCGTGTACGTGTTTTTAGGAAGTACAACACTCCCAAAGCATTCGTACTGAGAATGAGTGTCATCGATTGCCTGGTTTGAAGTAGATCGTAAACTCTGTAGCATCCTATGTGAGTGGAGTAGCATTGGTTAATTAACAAAGAAGAGATTGGGGAAGGATGGGAAGCAGTGACAATGGAAATGTGGGAAAGCGATGCTTCAAATACATCAGTTCAAAAAGAGGGGTATTGTCCGAGTGCCCAAATTTACAACACAGTAAGTGCTTGGGTGCCCATCTTGGAGCAGTGATGTAAGCATTTAATATGAATCAATATCAGAAATCATTTCAGGGTAAAGAATTCTTTTCGGTAAATCTCATCAGACCCAAACTTTTACATAACAGTGATTGTGGATATAGCGTCAACTGGGGCTGGGATTGACTTCTTGACTGTTTGAATGACCAAAATCGATAACTTGAGACAGAGATAGAGATGGTAGACCAAGTAAACTAAATAAACATATGTACACAATTCTCATTAGTACAAGGTAATTAAGTAGGTAAGACGACGTCCAAATAACTAAGTAACGGTGTCCGTTGGCCAAGGTAGTAATATCGGCCGTATAAATCGTTTTTGGACACATAATTCCGGCTTTAGATGGTGAATGTACATAGCCTCGGCGATGGCTAAGAGCTGTTTGCGGAATCCTTGGGAGAAGTGTTCAGGTAATGAGTAAGCATTTGACCAAAGGACAGGATATGAAGTGAGATAGAGTAGGTGAAGGCAGAGTTGTGAGTGTATCAGTTTGAAGATAATCACATAACAGTATGCGTATTTAAGTGATCGGGCTACAGATTCCGTCGACCGTAGGCCCATATGTGCCTGGTTTGTTGGGAGCTCCAGCGAATGGAGCGACAAATTAATAAAAGTGCAAGCAGTATATCTATGCTTCGAGCTGATATTTCGCTGTCATGCAGCTACAAGCGTTCGGATGAAGACTGGGAAACCGCCAAAGGCGCACAAAGCTAGGTAGAAGCATAGATCGAACCTGGGAGGGGGACAGAGGTTGCAAAGTATACGCTGTTACCATGGTTAAATGGCACCATTTGCGCCTTGAGCCAAGATAAAATTCATGCCCTCCATGGAAGTTTCCAGAATAAATGAACCTCGAATGCTTCTAACCCGTTATGTGGATATTGAGACAGGGAGTGACTGATATCCAATCGCCGAATTAGATGGCATTGCATCGGTGAATTTTGGAGAGCGCCATGGAGCACAAAGTAAAAAAGCCTTCGAACCACGTAAAGACACAGCTTCGTCGCGATAACGGCCAAGAACAAAACCGGTTATCAATGGGCGGGGGGGGGTCAGCAAACAATCCAATAATATTAGCGCTGGTAATGTTAATCTCATGCAACATGTTATGGGAAGCAAAAGGTAACAAATGGTGAATAAATAAATAAAATGATTTCCGTAAGACAATCGCATGAACAGCCATGGAATCGATCAAAGTATCTGGCAATCAATGGAATAGGTGGTGGCAACTGAAGTTAGACTTACCGCCCGATCGACTTGCAATAACTTGAACTCGCCCCACAACAGACTTGGGTTTTGACGGAGTTTCACCAATTGTTGCACCATTGAGAGCCCAGTTTCGCCGCGCCCGAAGGCGGAAGCTGACTGCAAGGTGCAAAAGTGGAAAACGCTCTTAGTAGTTAAGGTGGCGAAAGTATATTTGGAAAGTGAGACATATTTTCATACGGAAGCAAAACGGTGCAAGAGACTGGCGAATGATGAGCAATTATGGAGATATATAAAACCAACTTCAATTCAGAAGTACAGTCATTAAATAAATAAGCTCAGACAACATTGAAGGCATAGGGAATTGTAAGCAGATGGAGAACAAATGGGCGAGTGAAAGTGGCGTTCGAGACAGAGTCACAACGGCATCGTACGCTAGTTTTCGAAGTGAGGATAACCAGAAGGCGGTAACCAACAAAATCACCACTACAGTAGAGACAAAGAGGTAGCCATGTATGACCATTGCGATCCTAACGTTGAAGAGAAAGAAAGAAGTAGGGCAATCGTGGCGCACATTGTCTGTAGAAGACCCTGGAAATAGTCTCCCGTAGACCAACTAGTGGTGGTCGAACTGTTCGCTGGGCCTGATAATTTTGTTGCAGGCGTTTCATCATAATAACATCATGAGATATGATGTCACCTCGACTGGTGACGAAAGATGTGCAACAAAACTGCTAACCTCAGCGACCGCCACAAGAGCAGGTTAAGCTACCAATTTTCGCACTTATTTCAAAGGGAACACCGTTTTACAGTCTCCTCAAGGGGAACAGCCGCAATTAGGTAAGTTCGAGTGAACCATTGGCGATGTTCGCGTCCAGGAAGACGGCCACGGTAGGCTGTCTGTCGAATGTCGCCGTTCTAGTAACTGACGGAGTGCAGGAAGGAAGTCAGCGCAGCTTTCAGTGATTCACCTTCACGAACGTCAGTAAGCCAGTGTCGCAGGAAACTTTCGAGACGGCCTGATAATAGCTTACATGATCATGCAGGAACCAAACCATGCGTGCCGCTCTTTACCGCAGCTCAGCAGTAACACCAATATGAGGTCATTTCTTGAAAGTAGAAGAATTGTTCAGTCGCATGGAATGTAGCAGAAATTTTCTTTCAGTTGGTGTATGCCTCCCCTGAAATGCACTCCCGAATCGGTCGTTTCCATGTCGAAACGAAACATAGTTAAAATCCGATTGGATGTCGCGCTGTCACGTACACTTGTCACTTAGCAGTATCGGTCCGTTCCACTCATGGAAAAATCTTAAAGTTACTATCTACAATCTATTCGCGATGTGCAACTACGAGGAAAGCAGCATTGTCGTGCTTTTACCAGTAATTGCTTTATTTTTTGACGTTTTCGATAACTACCCCAGACAAGCCAACGGGGCTTGCAAAGTAATGCTTTGTAACCAAATAAAATCATTGTTCACTGTTCAGAATAGAGGTAACACAAAGAAGCCGTTACCCTAGGAACTTGCATAGAGCTGGAAACGAGGATAAGTAACCTCGAGTCTGCAGTTATGTGCACCGCATAGTGTGGAGTAGAGGGGCTAAGCCAACAACTAGCGGGCAGCAATCAAGCTTTAACAACGTCAAAAACAAGTTGTCAGGTCCGAGCACATTGTCTTGTTTCAGTAGTACTGGTCCAAGCATAGGATGTTTGAGGATAGAATAAAGATGTTTATTATTTATGAATATCGCTTTTTTTTACTGATGTTTATCTTGGGTCCAAACTTTGAAAGATTTGGAACAGCAATAGACAGTTAACAGTAGCGGTGGCTTCCAATACATGGGCCAGCACAAGATGTAGACGTACCAGGTCAAGTAGCTGTTAATACCGAAGACCATATGAAACGAACTTCTAACAGGAGTCAAACTAGTAAAAAAGCTAGAAAACTATTATTGACATATCTCAAGCCAAGTGGGTAAGCGGCCGGAGTGATGGAAAAGGATATCTGGCCAACTTACCTCGAACGTCAGCAAAAAATCGAATTCCAAGCTAAATTGACAGTGTTGTCTCTTTGACAGACAGGTAATCGCAGACTTGGATGCTTCGCCGAGGCCGGGAAGGTGAGTGTTAATCAGAGCAAACAAAGGCGTGAAGAAAAGCTAGCCAAGTGCTATAGATCAACCGACAGCGTGAAGTGCGCCACGTGAAACTAATGAAGTGGTTTATCTGAGCCCAGAATACCCTTTTGGCCAGTGGGTGATTGTGATTGTCTGGCAGCGAAGCGTCGATACTGTATACCGGCGTACGGCTGATGCATTTTATCTATATGCTACTTCTGAGCTACTCAGAGTAGATCGAGGTCTGACAAACTCAGTCTTGTTGTCTCCCCATCGGAGATCGCTGGCCTCTTGCTTACAAAATTAACGTTGGAATACAATAGCCCACGGGAGCACAGTAAGGGCGTCATGTGCTATTTCTAACGATGAGACGACGTCACAATTACCCATCAAGAAGGTAGCCGTCTGGAGATTCCCCGGTTTGCCTGTGTAAAATTCTAACCAAAATTCTTTAATTGTACACCTAGGCAACCGGTGTGGTCTGTTGAACTGCTTGCTGAGTTCGAATGCTTTACTTGCTCATCGCCATTTTTGCTTGGCGCTCGCTTCGGTTGCAACGCGCGACTGCTCAGTGTGCTGTGCCTGATACGTTTCCCTAGCTAGAGCGTCCACGGTGTCGTTCGTTTATAGCTAGCTAACAGGGAATCTTTTGCTGAACCAATAAAAGTTTCCCTGCAACTCGATCTGTCTTCTGGAATCGCTCTCTGGGCTCCCGGAATAGGCAACCCTCTAAAAGAAAAGTGCAGTGTTAAAAAGAACAAGAAACCATAGGGGAGCAATTGTTTTCGCTGATCCTCTTCAGACCATTACAATCATAGTTAAGCGTAAAATAAGGAACTGAAATCGACTCATTGGCTTAAATTACATAGTTAATTAACGGTTCAGTGAGGGAGACTAAAAGTTGACCTTTGACCTGACAGGTCGATTGCATGGTACTGAGCTTGATCTGTGGCAATCGACCTCAGCATCGTTCGTTCTAGCTGGCCAGGGAAGCTGTAAGGCATGGAGCAACTTCTTTTGCGAGTATAAAGAAGGTTGAAACAACCGGATGCAAATCGATTCAGCTGTCGCGAGTGCACGGAGGCGCAAACCTCTTGACTGATGCTGGGGGGCCCTGTAAATTATCCTGAAGACACCTTTTAGATCAACTTGGTGCCCCGTGTCGACTATATGGGCCAAAACGGCGCTGCTAATGGCCCCAGTTCCTTCTTGACGCAAGCAAGTGGTCGAATCCTCTGCTGTTAGGAGAGCTTTTTAATCAATATTCGTTGTTTGACTGCTGTAAGCTATCCAACTGCCGGTGGTCCATTTCCGCTGTACCAAAACCTGTTCTGGTGGCGCACGACCTCTGGCTCACGATACTAAATTCCTTTACGTGATCTTCAGCAATGTGCGTAGCCGGCGAAACAAGCCATTGCTGACAAATGCCGTCCAGATGTTTTAACAATCACCGAGGTGCGGTTGTTCACCGACGTCACGAACAGTGAAGTATGCTCACCAGGCCACGGAATGCTGTGAACGCGCTTTCGATCGTCATAGTGACGTTGCTCTGTACAGTAGCTCTGTGTTTACTATCTTCAAGGTGTATGCATTTCGCACCCTAGACTGTTCCATCGAGGCGTGCACGGTTAAGTTGTGTACCTCCTCTGTGCAACACAAAGTTGTGCTGGCTTATAAAGGTCCCGATAGCTATGCCAGGGGTCTCAGTGATTTCAATGTGGGACTTTCATTCGGATGCTGATTGCCAGAACTTTTACTGCGATGCTGTTTCATGAAGCTTTTCCGACGGGATTTTCGACTGTGCCATGTGTGCTCCTCTACATCGATTCGTTGATCGACCCACCAGATTCACGATGGGTCATAACCCGTCACTGGACCTAGTCGTCTTTAAGTCGGCTGACTGTCAAAGACCTTGTATACCATTCACCTCTGGGTGATAGGGACCATGCATGCCTGTCACTCAAGTGCACTTTCAGCCGAGAGTGTACTGAACGCACCATTCTAGATCTAAACAACGAAAGCAAAGACCGCAAACTAGTCTTGCGTCATTTCGTTAGCCGAACATATTCAGGCAGCCTGATACAAATGCAAGTCCTACTTCCCGAGTTGTCTCTCCCTCACCTCCCAACTTATGTGAAGGAAAAAACTAAGGAAATGTCACTCAAGTTTGATCGTGCTACGCGTAAACCGCTTAACAAACGGAGCAGGTGTTGGCTTAATTGCACAGTTATGGCAAGGTTTGAAATGCCAACAGGCAGTATCTGCGAGGTGCTCTACTACAACATGAAGTTCAGCTTGCTCATATAGCTCCATCTAACCCCAAAAGCTTCTTCTCTTGTGTCAAAAGGCGAACATGAACCCATCCATCTCGGTGTTATTTGGTTCTGAGGGCTCTGCGGCTCTCACTAATCACGACAAGGCTTCTCTAGTTGGGGAACAGCATGCAGTGGTGTTTGTTCGGGAGTTCCAGTTGTCGCATATTAGACTGGAGATAAACGTTCCTGTACTCTTTTCTGGAAGAGGTGCCCATATCGGAGGTCTAGATGTTCAGGCTTCTACGGGAGCTGAATGCTAATGAAACTACCAGAGTGGATACTATTCATCCAAAATTGTTGTATCAGTTAGCAGATGAAATTTGCTATCCGATTACACAACTTTCTGAGAAGACTATACGCAACATTTTCCCACCGATTAGGTGGAGAGTATTGCACGTATCAGTTCCAAAAATGTGACAAAGTGGACGTTTGTGTTGTACTACAAGCGACTTCGGGAAGACTTGATTCTTGCCCATCGAATAACAAAAAGTCAGATCAGCCATGATGTATCTGGACTGCTTCATTTCACTCGGGTGCTAACTCATCGTGGTCATCCACTGAAATTGCATAAACTCCGGTCCAATATGGATGTGAATGGCTTTCAATTATTGCGCAGGGTATTAGGTTTTGTAACGAGCTGACCGTGGAAGTTGCGATAGCATCGATTGAAGCTGTTCTGCAGTTCAAAGCCTCTCCTACATATTACAAGTTTTCACTCCTTTATTGAAG